AATAAAAAAATAAATAAAAATAAAGATGATTAAGAAATAAATTTCAAAAGATGTTCATCATCCCTACCAATTAGAGAAATGTAAGTCAAAACAACTTTGAGATGAACAAAACTAGCAATGACGTGTTGCAGTGCATGTTAGGAAAAGGGAACCCCCCCGCCTTCACTCTTGGTACAATTGCAAACACTTCTAGACACTGTGCAAATTCTTTTTTAAACAATCTTTTCTCATTTTACATACCAATCTCAGTTCCCCTTCCCTACTTTCAACTTACCCCACCCATATCAACTCCTCAGCGGGTGATGTTTCCCATGGGGAGTCAACAAATTCTGACACATTGCTTTGAGGTAGGACCAAGGCCTTCCCGACTATGTCTAAAAGGAATGATCTCAAAAAGCCAGTTTAAACACTATAGATAAATCCTGGTTCCACTGCCAGTGGCCTCACAAACTGCCAAAGGTGAACAACTGTCACCCACATTTAGAGAACCTAAATTGGTGCTATGCAGATTTCTTTTCTATCAGTCTGGAGATATGAGCTCACACTAGCTCAGGTCAGCTGTTCCTATGGATATCCCCACCATGGTCTAGATCCTTTTGCTCATATTATCGCTCCTACCTCTCTTCTTCTGGTCTCCAGAAGCTCCACCCAGTGCTTACCTGTGGATCTCTGTATCTGCTTCCATCAGATGGAATGAAGGTTCTATAAAGACAATTAAGGTAGTACTCAATCTGTTTACAGGGAAAGGTCAGTTCAGGCACCTGCTCCACTATTGCTTAGGGTCTTAGCTGGGATCATCCTTGTGAATTCCTGGTCATCTCCCTAGTGCCAGGTTTTATACTAGGCCCAAATGGTTCCCTTAATCAAAGTATCTCTTTCCTTGCTCTCCCTCTCAGTCCTTCCCCATTCTGACCATGCTGTTCTCTCATGTTCTCTTCCTCCCTCTCCTTCTCCCCTCCCTCCATTCTTTCCCTCTCCCACCACACTCCCAATTTTCTCAGGAGATCTTGTCTATTTCTCTTTGCCAGGGGGATCCATGCATGTCTCTCTTAGGGGTGTCCTTGTTACCTCACTTCCCTGGGGTCATTGACTATAGGCTGGTTATCCTTTGCTTTATGTCCAGTATCCACTTATGAATGAGTACAAACCGTGTTTGTCTTTCTGGGTCTAGGTTACCTTACTCAGGGTGTTATTTTGCTAGTTCTATCCATTTGCCTGCAAATTTCAAGATGTCATTTTTTTTTTTTTACCACTGAGTAATACTCCATTGTGTTAATGAATCAAAAACCTCAACAGAAATCTAGCCACACCGAACCTCATAGAAGAGAAAGTGGAAAGTAACTTTGAACACTTGGGCACAGAAGACCACTTCCTAAATATAACACCAGTAGCATAGACACCGAGATAAGCAATAAATAAATGGGACCTCCTAAAACTGAGAAGCTTCTGTAACGCAAATTATTTTCTTTCTTAATGAAGTATTTTGACTTCTATTCCTGATTATATTTATAAAAATTTGATTGTGATAATGCATGCCAAGGGAATTTTAAATATGTGTAGAGGCCTCATGGGATTGCTCCTCTTTACGAGACTTATAACCAAACAGTGACATTCATATGATGACTTAGTAGATTCACATTGCTCATCAACTTCAAGAAAAATATTGGACAGATTTTCAATATCCTTTGTAGGATTTATTTTACATCTTGGTTTCTCAAGCTATAGATCAAGGCATTCAGCGATGGGGATGCCAAGGTGTATAATAAAGAAGTTACTTTCTCATTGCCTAGGAATGAGGAGACTGTGAGTGAGACATATAAATATCAGACTCCCATAGAAGACAGTCAGCACTTGTGGAGAGTGTTTAGATTCCACAGTCATAAATTTTTCTTTGTCCCATTACTTTCCTTTTTATTTCTCAGAGACAGAAATAGTTAGCCTTGCTTCTCTTGTCTTTCATTATCTAGAGATTTAGAAATTTTGAACTCATTTTAGTTACTATCTTCCCTCCTCTGTCCTTCACACAATCTAGTAATTTCTGTTGGTTCACTTTTCTAGTTTTCTCATACGTGAAGGTCTTTCGTATTTGTCTTTGAGTGTTTGTGTTGTATCATATTACAAAGCATGGTCCAGATCTATTTATTTTGCAACAAATAACAGAACATTATACATTTACACACATACATGCATACATATATTGTTTAACCATTCATCTATTTATGTGCATTAAGTTACAAAAATCTTTATTATCCTGGGTATACCAGTATTTCTTGGACATTCTTATTTTTTATTTCCTTTGTATATACAACCTGAACTGAAATAACTGGGTCATACAATGCTTAACCTATTCCTCCATTTATTATTTTGATGGTAGGGGCTCCAAACTGTTCTCCATGATGATTGTATTACCAGTTGTCTGAGTTGTTTCATTTCATGGTTTTGTTCAGTTCAAAATGAATTCACTAATAAGAATTAGTGGGGACAAATAGCTCTGAGCTTACGGTATTAGCCTCTCTATTGTCAACATTACAAGTGTGGGCCCTGTGTGTCAGCAGCGAGTTCATAGCTCTAAACTTAAGTTGTGGCATCTTCAGTATTCAGTCCTCATCTATTAATTCTCATATGATTTATGTGATAATTTTTGTGGGACATGGCCCTTTTCTCCCTTCTTATGCTTATCTTTCTTCAGCCCAAGGCCATGTCTCACACCTTCATGGCGTGTTTATAGTTGTTTGTAGTCTCAGCTCTCCACACTTGTCTGAAGTCCTCACACTTTGGCTCAGGTCTCTTGTTGATCAAGGAATTATTAGTTCTTTGATATTTTAATACAATATATTCTGACTAAATTTGTTTTGTCACTCTCAGACCTTCTTGAACTCAGTGCTCCTTTTGAATTCTTCACCTACCATCTGAATATTTTCAACTGTGTTTGGGGCTAACTCACATGAATAGTCACCGGAGCCAGTTCAGCCCCCTCTACTTGTCATCAAAAAAGAAAAATCAAAAGTAGGAAGGAATATAACTTCACAGATTGGCTTTATTGAGGTATACCTGACATTTTAATGTCTACATAGTAAGATTGGCTCTTCAATGATAATCAGAGTACAAAGAGCTTTGTTCATATGAAAAATCACTTTTCAGTGCTAGCTATCATGGATGTGGGCGAAATAGTGTATGCCAGTATATTAAGTTCATATGGCAGCTATCCAAAGCTGTCTTGCCTTCAGCAAACATTGGGGAATTAAGCTGTGCTTGAGGCTCTTGCCATGGCAGATACAGTGGTTTCCAGAACAAGAATGAAGTCTATCTGTGACATGTGTGGATAATTTATCTTTGCTATTATGAGCATATTTTATGTGTGAAATAAACTTTATTTACATTTAAAATTTTAGCTCATAATTTCTTTGATAGCTTATGAGCAATTTCTCTTTCTATCATTCACTTTTTTCTTTTATTTTTGAAATTATAATATACTTAGAGCATTTCTCATTTTCCTTCCACCCTCTAAAACTTCTCATATATTCCTACTTTTCTCTTTCTAACCCACTGCTTCTTTTTATTAATTGTTCCATGCATACATGTATATGTAAATATACATACATATTTCTAAAAAGAACCTTCTCGGTCCATAAAATAATATTTTTATGTATGTTTTCAGGGCTGACCACTTGGTGTTAGATAGCCAGTTGCTATGCTCTTCCCTGAGAACTTCTCTTTTCCTATGCTTGAGAACTTGTGGTTTTCCCCTGTTCTCTTTGGCATGCCTATTGTTGTCTTTGTTCAACCACGTTTAAGCAGTATCTGTTTACACTTGAATTTTTGCTTCCTGAATCCAATCATATATGTCGTTGTTTAAATTGTAAATACTATACTTAATGGAAATAAAAGGGACAATTATTCATAAGAGACATAAGAGTCCATTAAGTCCATTATTCTTATTGCTACTTTTATTAAGTTCATTAATACATATGAATTTTTACAAAACAATATTTTTCATTATATTTTCACTCACTGTATGTGAGTGTGGCATACACACACATATACTGTATGTATATATATATGTGTGTGTGTGTGTGTGTGTATGATCCTTTGCTGTTACTTACTTACTTACTATCACATAACCCACCCTCATCCACCTTCCCTGCCCACTGTTCAGCTTTCTGTTTCCTAATGATCTTGTTTCTACTTTTATAAATTTTAAAAAAATCACATAAGATAAATTATGCAATACTCATCTTTATGAGTTTGGCTTATTTTGCTTAAAACGATGATCTCCATCATCATCGTGCTGTAAATGTTCATTTCTGACATAATCTCCCCCTTCTTCATGTCCAAGATAATTGTGTATATGGGTCACATGTCTTTATCCATCCAGTTGCTGTTAGGAGGTGACACTGACTTTTTTGTTCCGGCTGCTGTAAGAATGTGAGCGCAAACACTGATATTCAGATGCCTCTGCTTTAGCCTGTTTTTGTTATTTCTCTGTGTAGATATTCAAGATCATATTAATGGATCAGATCTTGTTTATCCTTTTGATTATTTAGTATTATAGCAATACTCTTTGCAAAGTATATGTATAGAACATAGAACAGGGATAATATTTTTACATATCAGCACTTCAGTACTTGATATGTACTTCTATATGTAGGTCACATAGGAAAGAAAACTGCTCATTTCAATACATTAAGATCTCATTAGCCAAATGAAAGTCTAAGGTGAGGTACATACGTGAATCTGTCCTTTCCATTTCACCAGGGGTGGCTGTGAATGTAAGGCGAGTGGCAGAATTCAGGCACTAGCATGGAACGTGTGAAAACAAGATTAATACCAAAATGAGAGCCAGTATTTATACACTGCATATTGAAAACAAGAGAAACATTTCAACTTTTCCAGTCCAGTGCATTTAGAAGTCTAACACATATTATATGCACTTGAATATAATAGAATTTATTAGATAAACAGTTTGGGTCTATTTTTGTTTTATTTATTTAATTCTTGTAGGACTCAGGATTTTCAGCATGGATGTGCATGTGTTAGGCAGGCTTTGTGCTGGTAGGCTACCTCCACTTTCTATTGCATTTCAAATACAAGCTTTACACAGTTTTTTCCATAGCTTCTGAAGGGCATCTTTTACCTCTTTGTTTCTCAAGCTGTAGATAATGGGATTCAGCATGGGGATTACCAAGGTGTAGAACACAGAGGCCATTTTATCAGTCTCAAAAGAGTGACTAGATTTGGGCTGTACATACATAAAAAACAGAGTACTGTATAAAATAACTACCACCGTCAGGTGAGAGCCACAGGTAGAGAAGGCCTTGTGTCTGCCCTCTGCAGAGTTCATCCTGATGATGGCCACCAGAATCAATATGTAGGACACAAGTACCACAGAAAGCGATGAAACCAAATTAAATGCTGAGAAGATCAATATTATGAGTTCAATGTCATGTGTACCTGAACAGATCAAGGTTAACAAAGGAAGACTGTCACAGTAGAAGTGACTGATGACATTATGGCCACAGAAAGATGAAATGAAGATTTTGATGGTGGTGATCAGAGAGAGGAAGGCACTGAAGAGATAGGGAATTATCACCAATACCCAACAAACTTTCTGAGACATAATGACTGTATAGAGCAGGGGGCTGCAGATGGCCACATAGCGGTCATAGGCCATTGCTGCCAGAACGAATAACTCACTAATGATGAAGAAGATGAACAAAGATAGCTGAATGGCACACCAGTTGTAGGGGATAGTATTTTCTCTTGTTACAAAACTTACCAACATTTTGGGTCCCACAGCTGTTGAATAACCAAAATCAATGAAAGCCAGATGTCTGAGAAAAAAGTACATAGGTGTTTGTAGCCTGTTATCCAACTTGGTGAGGATGATCATGCCCAAATTTCCCACCATGGAGGCAACGTAGATGAGAAAGAACAGTACAAAAAAAGGAGCCTGTAGTTCAGGGAGGTCTGTGACACCCATGAGAATGAACTCATTCAGCACAGAGAGGTTCTGCTTCTCCATCTAGACTGCTAAGGAAATGTTTACTTGGAGGGATCTTCAAAGACCACTGAGATAAGGAAATGTTTACTTGGAGGGATCTTCAAAGACCACTGCGATTCCCGGAAGTTACCTGTTAAAAAATCAGAATTTGTCACATTGTATAAGAGAGTACTGTATTTTTATGTTCTTCTTTTGTTTGATTTTTAACAGGAAGTAATGGTGTTATGCCTTCTGGACATGACATGGCCATCACGCTTTTGAGATCTCAGCAACCGTATTTACTTGCACAGCAAGACCTGCATAGAATCAAATCATCAGAAATCCTGGCACAGAGAGGGAGCACTCTCCTCCAGGCCCTTCCAGTTACCAAAGAACTATTGGGAACTGTATTTTCTGGTGGAGAGAAATTCATTCTTCATCATGGACATGTTTCCTGGTATGTTTCTCATGCTCCAGTGAATGGCCTCATAGCCATTTGTCTTTGAGCAGCATTAAGGAGATTTAGGAGATTATAAGAAAGATGAAATGATTTTAATGATAGTCATCCAGCAACTGAAAGAAATAGATGCAAAGGCCCACAGCCAAACAATAGGCAGCGCTTGGGACTCCTACTGAAGTGAGAGAAGAAGGATTGGAGGAACCAGAAGAGTGAAGGACACCACAAGAAAACTCACAGAAGCAACTAACCTGGGCTCAAAGGAACTCACAGGTATTGAATGACAACCAGGGCCACTGCATGGGACAGATGCTGGCCTTCTGCATGTATGTTACAACTGTGTTACTTGGTCTTTTTGTGAGACTACTAACAATGAGAGCAGGGGCTGTCTGGGACTCTTTTGCCTGCTTTTGAGGTGCATTTCCTCATACTGTGTTGCCTAGGCCAGCCTTGATAAGAGGGGCGGTGCCTACCTTACTACAAGTTGATACACCATTTTTGGTTGATATCCATAGTAGATCTGCACTTTTCTGATGAGAAATGAAGGAGTAATAGATGGGGAGTATAGAGACGAGGTTGAGTGAGGACTGGGAACAGAGAAGGGAAGAGAAACTACAGTTGGATGTAAAAAAAAATGTAGGAAAAAAATAACAGAAATGAATTTGCTAAAGCTGTGTACAGGGAGATATATGGGAGAACTTAAAGGGACAATATGAAGGATATCCTTTATCACAATTATTTTTATACATGTCTGAAACTCTCAAAAATAAAGGAAAATTTGAAAAACACACATAGTAACAATTTTGGATAATTTATAAGTAGCATTAATGCATCATTGATAGCAATGTCTAAAATAAATTATATCTATATTTTATGATTAAAATTAAAAGAAGTATAATTTACAATATTGCATTGAGAATAAATAACATTAGGTTGGGTTAATGAATTTAAGAATGGAAAATCTGTGCATACAATTTAGCAAGCTATGCAGTTAAATAGGATACAAAGGGTATTTGAGCATATGAGTGAATAATGCAGTTATAATGTCTTCCAAGATCATGATTGGTAAAATATGTTGTAAAAATTATAATACTAAATTTTAGTACTTCCTAAAAGGGAGAAGTTAAAGTTATATGGAAAAAGATCATAGAATTTCTAACTAAATTGGCAAAGGAAGTATGTTCCTGGCTCTAACATCTCAAGGTTATAAAACTGTCCATTTTTTAAATTGAGACATATTTGTAAATCTTCAGGGTATGCATTTAAAATTTGGCATGTGTGAAATTTGTGATGGCAAAATCAATTGATTCTTCTATTTTCATCCTCAAATGTTAATTATTTTAATGTTACTAATTTCATACTAATCTTATATTTTCAGATATCAGCTAGATTCTTTTATTTTCCCCTAATATTTTTTTTTAATTTTTGAGATTATAATTTGATTATATTTCTCCCTTCCCTTCCCTCCCTACAAACCATACCATGTAACCATCACATTCCCCTTCAATCTTGTGGTCTCATTTCCACTAACTTTCATTGCATGCATAGAAGTGAGGGATTCTTTTACACAATAGCTACCCAACTGTACAGTTAAAATCATGGCAATTTCTTCTGCTTGGAGTCCATCTCCATTTTTCCCATCTTTCATCCTTCTTATCCCACTGAGTCCCTAATTAACTTTCTTGTCTTTCAGTTCTGTCGTGAAGATTGGTTCTGTTGTGACATCAGTTCTTTTAGTTTTCACCAATCTGAAAATGCAAAATTTATTTCTTGTGCCTTGTGTATGTCATTCAACATAATGACCTCTATTTTCCTCCATGCTGCTGTAATCAATACAAAAAGAGTTTATTCCCTTTTTAACAAGATCTTAATATGCTTACTTTGTAGAATTTCCTAATGAATATGACATTTATCTAGAAAAATGTAGCTATAACCCTAGTATTTGCTTATTTACCATTATCAGAGTTTCACGTAGTTATGTAGGCTATACTGAAAATAATGATGCCTTTGCTACAGCCTCTCAACTAGCTAGAATATGCCCAAGAGCAGGGTCTTAACCAGTCTCACTTAGCCAGTCTCACTCTTACCTGACAGAAGCACAAATTCCAAGGAGACACCAAGTGTTGGGTAAAGGATTTGAAGTACATGGGTTCCCCGTTATGTAGATAGTAACAATCAATGCCACTAAATTAGCCTATAAAATTAAGCAAGTAGAGTAACTGAGGTCAACAAGTGAGAAAAACATTGTAGCCAAAGAGAAGAAAGAAAGATGCAAGAGAAGGAAGAATTATCAGTTACTTAAAATATACAGCAGACTCAGCTGCCTAGGTGAGTAAACATTGCTAAAAATGTCAGAAATAAAAACATCCCTGTTTCTGAAATACATTTCACCACATACATCTGAAAAACTCAGGAGACAATGCTACCCCACCCCAGCACATAAATTAAAACCAAAATCTACTACTTTATCTAAATAGGTAAAAACCAATTGCAGCATGTTTGTGAATTACATAAAACCAGTATAAATTGCCTCAGCTTTCAAATTTGGAAAATGTGATAATGTACAAATTTTATATCTCATGAATTCATCTAATTCAGGGGGAATCTGTGAGTCTTATATTTTAATGTCAGCCTACAAATCAATATTATGTGCCTTCTGATGATTCCTGTATGTATTTCCTCTACTACTGCGTACTAAGCCCAGATGATAGAATCAATCTCTACCAGTAAGCTAGATTTCTTAAGACTTTTGCCATCTAAATATCTATTTTATCCTTTCCGAACAGAAACAGAGGAAGAGGAGTGGATTGGAGGAGGGCAGAGGGGAAGAGGGGAATGGAATGGGATAAGAGTTGGGAAGGGAAAGTGTGAGTGGGATGTAAAATAAATAAATAATTTATTAAAAAGTTCTACTTTATCTGTGCTACTATAATTCATAATTTTAGGATAAAACTGTGTGACATAAGTTTTACTAATTATCACCTTGTGTGTATATATATATACACATAATTATATAAAAAACTATATATAACTAATATATATAAATATATAACTATAACTATTTATAGTTAATGCTATTAAGTATATTCCTATTAGGGAAAGATTACTTATATTTTCAAAGTTGTTTATAATTTCTCCTTAAACATTATATGAAATTAACAAAATTAGTTATTTTAATTTTTTATTTTTAAATTTTTTTTTTATTTTTATTTTTATTTTTATTTTTATTTTATTTTTATTTTTATTTTTTTTATTTTATTTTATTTTTATTTTTTTATTTTATTTTATTTTATTTATTTTATTTTATTTTTATTTTTATTTTTATTTTATTTTATTTTATTTTATTTTATTTTTATTTTTATTTTATTTTTATTTTTAAAGTTATTTTAAGATTGCTTTTATCCATTATACCTCATTGAGTGATTCTCAACTGCTTGGTCAAGCTTCTGAGTGTTCAGATGACTTGCTTTTTGGTCCCCTGACATATATCTATTGTCTGTTATTATTATCTGTATTAGCCTAAATACAGTTTATTCTTACCTTTGAGATTTTGTGTCTCTTCC